AGAAAGAAAGAAAGAAAGAAAGAAAGAAAGAAAGAAAGAAAGAAAGAAAGAAAGAAAGAAAGAAAAAGAGAGTACAGTCCATCACAGTGGGGGGTCAAGGTGGAAGGATCATGATACATCCATAATAAGGAATATACAGTCCAGGATCCCAGCCAAGGAATGGCACCACCCACAGTGGGCAGGTCTCCCACTGCAATTAAAATCAAGATAAGCCCCAGGGGCTAGTCTCCTAGGTGATCCTGCATTCTGTCAAGTTCAGAATTAGCACTGTCACAGGGAATGTCTTAGTGAGGGTTTCTATTGCTGTGAAGAGACACCATGACCACAGCAACTCTTACAAAGAAAATATTTACTTGGGGTGGCTCGCTTACAGTTTCAGAAGTTCATTCCATTATGGCAGGGAGCATGGCAGCCTGCAGGCAGACGTGGTGCTGGAGCTGAGAGCCCTACATCTTGCAGGCAACAAGAAATGAACACACTGGGCGGTATCCTGAGCATAGGAAACCTCAAAGCCCGCCCCCACAGTGACACACTTCCTCCAACAAGGCCACACCCACTCCAACAAAGCCACACCTCCCAATAGTGCCACTGCCTGAGATTATGGGGACCGGTCACATTCACACCGCCACAGGCTCAGAGGTACTTTCCACCTCTGTCCCTCTCTGGCTGTTCGTACCGATCCATTATCCATTGCACCACAGGGTCACATAATGCCGATCCATTATCACCCATCCACTGAAGCAAGGGTCAGGCAGGGACACAGTGAGTTCTTGGGAGACCCTCTGCCACTGGCAGGTGTTTCTCCAGTCCCAATTACACACCCCTGAGACAGGGAGCTCATTCCCCAGAGACCAACCTTTTATGACCAGGTGACAGTCAGCGGCCAGACTGACCTAAGCCTTGCCTCCCTGTGACCTCATGCCGCCTTGGCTTCATCCCACGGTCACACACACAGAGGGTCTCCTGCTGCAGGGCACTCACAGTACCACATCCCCTCTGGGTTGAGCTGAGGGAGGCCATTGTCCTCTGACATTTACCGCACACGCTTCCCTCCTTGATTCTCCTGCCCTGCGTCGGGAGGGTTTCCATCCATCCAGGCCCGCGACTCACTGAGGACCAGGAGGCTTTGGCCCCTCAAGAAGTCGAGGGGTTGGGGAGGCAGCTCAGTCAGTGAAGTGTTTACACCACACAAATATGTGGACCTGAGTTTGAGCCACAAAACCCACGTAAAACACTGGGTGTGGTGGTGTACACTTGTAATCTCGGCGCTGAGGAGATGGTCAGGAGGACCCCAGGGGGTTCACTAGCCAGCCAGGCCTAGCCTGATTGGTGAGTCCCAAATCCCAGTGAGAGACCCTGTATCCAAAAAAAAAAGTCAGAAAGAAAGAAAGAGAGAAAGAAAGGAAGGAAGGAAGGAAGGGAGGGAGAGAGAGAGAGAGGAAGAGAGAGAGAGAGAGAGAGAGAGAGAGAGAGAGAGAAAGAAAGAAAGAAAGAAAGAAAGAAAGAAAGAAAGAAAGAAAGAAAGAAAGAAAGAAAGAAAGAAAGAAAGAAAGAAAGAAAGAAGAAAGAAAAAAGGTGGGCAGCTGCTTAGAAGCAATTCCCACGTTGACCTCTGGTCCCCACACACAAGTGCACTCACATACACCCACCTGCACACATACACACGTATACATGCTTGCACAAGCCCATGCATGTAGACACACACAAGGAAGCAGACAGTTGGCCCAGGATGGCTCCTCGGTCACCCATCACACTGAACCACGGTCCTCCGCCCAGGTCAATGACTGGATGGAGCGGGAAGGAAGCCGGTGTCTGCAGGCTCTGTCCCCTGTCGACATATGTGCGGAGACAGTGGAGAAAGTCCACGCCGAGTTTGAGGACTTCTTCCTGCAGGTTGCGGTATGTTCCAGGGCCCAAGATGCCAAGAGGTCATTGAGGTGGGGTCTTCTAGGTCCCAGATGCAGGGGTGGGAAAGTGCAAGGGAGCTTCCAGGGGCAGCGAGGGGACAGCCTGGACCACAGAGCAAGGGGACAGCCTAGACCACAGAGGCATCACCTTAGGTTCTGCCTCCTCCAGGAAGTCTTCCAAGACCAAGTCCAAAGAAGTCAGAACCTGCAAGGGTTTCTTAAAATGCAGGTACCCAGGGCCCAGATCTTGGCCTCCTGGGTCAGCTTGAAGAGACAGTCAGGGATGCTGCATTTGTGATGGACACAGGATGCTTTGGCCTGTCACAGCCCTCGGGGGACTCCCAGGCAGTGGGGGATGGGACTGTCCTGGACACAGCAGAGGACTGTGGGGGATCCAAGCCTCTGACCCAGGCTTTCAAGTCACAGAACCTTCCAGAAGAATGTGAACTTCCAAGGCAAAGGCCTAGGCTGTTGGATGAGTTAACCTTTGACTGTGGGCTGAGTTTTGCAGATGGGGAAACTGAGGCTCAGAAGGCCACAGCGGCTCCTGACTACTGGGCGGATCCTCAGGCGGGAGCTGAGTGGATGTCCTTTTCCCGCCCAGGCCCAGTATCGCCAGGGCCTGGAGCTGTCCAAGCAGGCCGCGCAGTTGGGAGCTGCAGAGGAAGGCGCAGGGGAGCCAGGGCTCCCAGACCTGGCAGCCTTCGCCTCCACCCAGCAGGCCTTCCAGGCCAGGCTGACGCATTTCTACATGGCGGCCGAGAGGCAGCGCACTGACCTGGAGACCCTGCTCCACCTCCACCGCTTCAGAAAGAAGGTGAGTGGACCTCACAGCCCATCAGAACAGACCCACATCCTCCCGTGGGGTGGCACAGGGTTGGGGCGGCCTGGACACAGCACCAGGGGCCCCATGTGGCAATCAGGGAGAGGAAGCGGGTATGGAGGCAAGTGTGTCCTGCCCTGGGGATGTGCCTGCGTCCTTCTCCAAAGAGAGGCGGAGTGGCAGCTGGATCCCTTATCTGGGTAGGCAGGGTGAAGATGAGGTGGAAGTGGTTGAGGTGGAAGGGAAGCCTTCCCTGAGTGCAGACCCTGCGAGTGAGCACTTTATACTCGCCTGCTTCTGGGTGAGTCTGGGCCACCTGCCTTGTGCCCATTTCACAGAGGAGAAAACTGAGGCCCAGAAGAAGTAAGCTACTCAGGTGGGATTAGGCAGTAGTTGAGTAGGATTTGACTTCAAAGTTTCACTCCTAAATGCACATAACCCACCCACCCACCCACCCATTTTCTAGTGGAAAAACTGAGGCCTATGGACAAAAAAAGAAGGCTAGAAGAGCTGGGTCCCAGCTGGACAGGAAGTCACATGACTACCCTATGCCCTCAGCTACCCCCTTGAACTTACCAAAAGGGACAGAGCATGGGAGGGGCTTGACCCCACCCACCAGCTGTTGGGTGGCTCGGGGCATGAAGGGACAGCTGGGAACATGGGATGCTTCAGAGGGCAGTGGGAGGGACCCAGACATCTCACAAATGCCTGGGGACCCGGAGGACAGGGCTTCTCTGTCTCCTTGGGTCAGGGACAAGGCAGGCAGCTGTCAGCAGTGGCAGTGAAGGGGCACTGTGCCCCTTCCTCACCCTGGAGAGCACAGGGGGGCAGTGTCCGGGATTCGGCCCATGTGGGCTGTGTGACCTCGACAGCTGTCCTCACTTCTTAGAACCCCAGCCCCTGTTCATAATGTGATTGGCTAGCGCTAGTGCAGGGTCTCTAGTGCCGGGCCTGGTTCTGATCATTCCCCTGTTACACCAACCCTATGCTGAAAACAGAGAGGTCGAGTGACTCACCCAAAGTCACAGAGCTGGCTGATGGCGGCACTGCAATTCAAACCCAGATCTTTGGCTTGAATGTACTCCCAGCCAGGTGGTAGGAGAAGCAGATTCGGGCTGCAAAGACCGCTCAGAGGTCATGAGCCCTGGCTGCTCCTTCACAGGACCCAGGTTGGATTCCTAGCACCCACGTGATGGCTCACCATAGGCCACAACACCCGTTCCAGGGAACCCAACACACACTTCTGGCTTCCCCGGGCATCAGGCGTAAATGTGGTGCACGAACATTCATGAGGGCAAAACCCTCACGCGTGGAAAATAAAATAAAAATTTTAAAGGGAGAAAAGCAGATTAAATTTGAGGAACCCCTCAGAGCAATGTGCCTAGAGTCAAGGACGTTTGGAAGCTTCTCTTTGCCCAAAGACTGCTGCCCGCTTCCTCCCTGCAGCCTTCCTGGAATCAACCCAACTCCTAGCACCTTTGAGCCGGCTTTTCCCACTGCCTGGAAAGCCGTTCCTCGGCCAGAGAAGCCGAGGCCTGTCCTGACCACTACACCTACCATGCAACCGCTTCACGGTGCCCCTCAGGATCTGAAGTGATCCGCTGCCTGTCACCTGCTTGTCCCTGGCGTGCCCTCTGGGTTGTGAGCTCCCCGGAGTGGCAGGGCACCCTTGGTGTCCTAGCCTGAGACTGTAAAGAGAAGAGAGCAGGCTGGGCCTGGGGGAAGGTAGCCCTCCCTCCTCCTAAGCAGGAAAGAGCAGCATGGGAGGGGGGAGGCTGGACCGTCCCCCTGTCCACCGCTGGCAAAGTCGCATCAAGGCTGGACGCTGCTGCCCTGACCAGTCCTGTATGTGAGGAGGAGTTGGAGATGGTGTCTGAGTCTCTGGGCATGACTGCCAGGCTTGGCTGGGAAGCTGGGGACTCAGACAGGGCTCTACCCAGGTGGGGCGCCCGAGTGCTGTGCCTTCTGCCCTAAATAATCCTAACTCGATTGGCTGCTAAGGGAGATTTATGGCGCCATGAGTTCTGAGTGCTACTGTGAATATGAAGCCATTTATCTAAAGACGAGCTCCCTTAATCCACAGAAAAACGCCTCCTTGCAGCAAATGGCTCTGCTGTCCCCTGGCCAGCGGCTTGCTCTCGGCCCTAAATTAATGGAGAGAGAGATTATCCTTTGCATCAGCTGCTGTGTCGTACAGTGGGGGGAGCGGGGGAGGGGGGTAGTGTCGGGAACAGGCAGAGTCACATGATGGGCAGAGGCCCAGCTGGTGTATGAGCTGTGGGGCCTGCTGGACTGACTGCCCACCCCTGCCTGAGTCAGCTTTCCTTTGGGTGCAAGGAGGCAGGCTGGATCCAGGATGGGATCCCAGCTCCCCCTCACTGCACTGTGTGACTTGGAATAAGTGAGTTCATTGCTTTGTGCCTCAGTTTCTCCCTCTGTGAAATGGGCTACTAATCTAGCTCACAGTAGTGGCCTGGGACACTCATGGAACCAGATAAACAGATGACACTCTGGAATGTATTAGCAACGCTCCTTCCTCAGTGTCTCAACTCCCCCGACCCCATCACCTCACCCCGGGCTGAGAATTAAACCTAAGGCCTCAAGCCTGGCAGGCAACCACTCTACCACCAACTCACATCCCTAGCCTTTTCACTTTTTATTTGAAACAGGGTCTCCTTAAATTGCCCAGGCTAGATCTGAACTCACTCTGTAGGCCAGGAAGGCTTTGAATGTACCATTCCCCAGCCTTGACCTTCAGAGTGGCCAGAATGAACAGGCTCACACCAACAGGCCTAGCTACACTCAGTTTGCGTGTATGTGTGCCACGCGCGTGCCTGTGGAGGTCAAAGGGCAACCTCAGGTGTCAGTTCTCACTTCCACCTCTTTTGAAACGGTCTCTTGTCCTTTGTCTCTGAACATGCTGTGCTAGCTAGCCCTAGAGCTTGTGGAGATTGTCTTGTTTGAGCCTCCCATCCCACACCAGGAGCACGGGGATTACAGTTGCAAGCTCCCCCCACCCCCACCCCCACCCCACCCCCGCCGTGAAGCTTCACGGGGGTTCTGGGGATCTGAACCCAGGTCCTCACGCTTGTGCTGCAAGCGCTTTCCCCATGGAGCCCTCCCTCTCCCCATCCGGACTCTCGGTTCTGAAGGGGGCTTTCCTGGTCATTTCTACAGCTCCTGCTTTACATCTGCCCCGCTGGCCTGTGGGTCTGTTAGAAGGAGCCTGAAGAGCCCAAGGGTGCTAGAGGCTCTTTGTAGGTGGCAGGGGTACGCATTGGAAAAGAAAGGGGACAATGGTCATCACAGTCTCCAGGCTGTGCACCTAATAGTTCACTCCGCCACATCGTCTCAAATTCTCCTGCTCACGGGCTCCTCTTGTCTTCACGGAGCCCCCACCTCCCTTCTCCTTGCCATCCTTAGGTGTGCCGGTTCCACATGGACTGTCAGGACCTGCTGACCCAGCTCAGGCTGGGCAAGAAGACTTCGAGGGCCAGCCCTGGGGACCCCCTCCACCTCCGTCTCCACTGTTACCTGAAGCGCCTGGCGTCTGAGTTCCAGATGGAGAAACTCCTGGCCATGAAGCTCCAGGTGACCTCTCTGAGCTGGGCTGGCCTGGGCCAGGAGCTGTGGGAAGAGACCCAGGAGCGACACCAGGAGACCCAGGCCTTGCTGAGGAAGGCACTGGCCTACTGCCCATGCCCAGAGGTCACGGCTGCCCACCCAGCACACACAGATCGAAGCAGGACAGCAGCTAAGGGCCGGGGTCTGCCTAGAGAGGTGGCCTCCAAATGGGACAGGTCCCTACAGGACTGTCTGGCTGCAGATGCGTCAAGGTCCCACTGGTCTCCACATGTCTTCCAAGGGGAGCAGAGCAGAAGCCTGTGGGCAGGCCTACCACCCCAGGGAACTGGCCAGACCGTGGACGCCGAGGAAGGCCGAGGTGCCCCCAAGCTACCTGAGCCCACCCTGGAGCGGCTCCTCGCCTCTCTCTTTTCCTGGCATCATCTTCCCAGACAGAGCAAGGCCTCTCACCCAGCTGGAGGCAGCTTTTCCTCTGAGGGGACAGACTCACAGACATCCCTGGAGGACTCACCCCACACAAGCCCTCCTGCATCCCTCTAACTCGATCTGAATCGTCACGTTAGCTCTGGGGACTGGGGTAGGACCAGTGGGAGGGGTCTGCTGAGCCCACACCACCCTATCAGACATGGCCATGGAGCGATGTCAGGAGGACCACCTTCTGGCTCCAGAAAACCCCAAGATGATGGATTGTTACCCACACAGAATAGTGTCCGTGGGAGTTAGAATCCAGACTCAGTGGAAGCACATTGGGCCGTGACTGCAGGGTCTCCTGTGGCAAGGCCGGCTGGGGCCACCTTTGCAAAGTCTTACCCAGACTGCCACTTGGGGTTCACATGGGTAACAAAGTAGTGGGAGGGGCCTCTTGCCTTGAGCCCCAGGGTAACAGACCCTGAGACTTTGCATTTGGCGGTGACCCCCGGAGCCTCTGAGAAGAGTGTGGGAAGCAGGGGGAGGGAAATAAAGGACATTTGTCAGGCAAGCTCCATCCTGCCGAGGTCTGCCAGGGGACAGCAGGGGGCCTCATAGATGCCCATCTAGAGGGGAGGCAGCCCTCACCTCCTACTCTCAGGAGCTGGACTCTAGTGGACAAGGGCAGGAACATGGCCGAGGAAGAAACTGCTTGACACAGAGCTCTCCCCAGGAACCCGGCTCCCCAGCTCAGACTCAAGGAACCAACCACTTGGGATCTTGTCCATGCATTCCATAGACACCTCCAGTTCCCATGGAGTGTTACTTCATCCCCATGTCCCCCACATTCAGTGTCAACCGCCCAGTGTCATGGGGGGCAACAGTGGAGGGGGTGGTGCAATCTTTGAAAGCAGGTGGGCGTGGGTGCAACGGGAATTAGATCTACAGCACCTGACTTTTTACAGGACTGGTGTAGCGCCCCCTACTGTCACCTCTGAGCGCTGACATGTTGCAAGGATTCACGGGGCTCTGGATCAGTCTTGCCTGCCAAGATGGCCTGCTGGCAGCCCTGCCTGAGTTTTTCGGGCCCTGAGAGGAGGGTGAAATACCTGCTCCACCCCCATCAGTGAGGCTGTGTCAGGGGAGAGGGAAGCCCAAACCAGGCTTGGGAGGATGAGGTGCCACGGGAGACGTCTCAGCCCCAAACAGCTTCGAGAATCTTCTCTGAGATTCAGGATTTCTCCAAGCACAGCCTGAGGCCTGCCTGCTTCAGAGCCACCAGTGGAGGTGATTTGTAAGGAAGCCTGCTCAGGGAACGACAGCCCCTCCACAGCACACACTAAGACCAGGCCCCGGGGCCTGGGGGAGACTGGAGGCCGCACTGGGGCCACGTGATCAGGTGTTCCAGGCCATTGTCCATTCTGCTGACATCACAGATTGCCACAGGCTGTGTGACTTACAATGAGAGCTTACGGGACTCACAGTTCTAGAGTCTGGGAGTCCAAAGTCCAGGGGCTGCCTCTGGTGAGGACCTTCTTGTGTGCGAGCATCGCCCGTAGATGGAGCTTGTGTGGAAGAGGGGGGAGGGGCAAACATCCTTCAAAGAGGGCCGCTCCCACATTCATCTCACAGGAGGACGGTGAGCACCCCTATGACCTTTCTATCGCTGTCTCTCAAGTTTCCAACCTATGAATTTCAGAGGACACTTGAAACCTAGGGTGGTTCCCTTGGGAAGCTCTTGGGGCTCCAGGTCCTGGGCAGCTCAGACTTTGCATTCCTCTCCTCAGCCTTGCATCCAGAAGGCTGACTGAGGATGCTTGAGGAATTTGATCAGCCATCTCCATCCAAGCCTGTCACCTCAGAGGGGGGCCCAAGGCTCTTAAGCTGTTGTTGCCATAGAAACAGCATCCAGCCAGTGGAGACCACAGGCAAGGAGCAGGAAACCTGGGGAGCGAGAAGGAAAGCTGACTTCAGGGAGACCCACAACCACTGCTGGGAATGAGGGGGGGGGAGAAGGGATGAGTGAGCCAAGGATCTTTGGGTAGGGGGGACCCCAAGGTCTTACACATCCTCCTGTTTCCAAAAAGAACTGTACCCCAGCTGTTGACCTGCTCCTGGCAGCTCCAAGAGAAAAAAGGTGCAGATGTGAAATACGGGTGAATGACCACATTCAAAAATGAGGACGGGCTGGGAAGATGGGTGGAGTGCTTACTGCGTGAGCGTGGACTCCCCAGCACCCATGGAAAAAGCTTGGTGTGGCTGTGCGTGTCTATACCCTGGAGCAAGGGGGTTGAGACAGGCAGGCAGATCCCTGAGGCTCACCCAGCCAGCCTAGCTGAATCTGTGAGCTCCAGGTTCAGTAAGAGATTCTGTACCAAAAAGCAAGGTGGAGAGAAAAGCCCGCTGTTGTCTTGTCTGGCCTCCACCTGTACCGGCGATGGCTCCCGAACGTGCGTACACATGCATGCAAAAACTTAAAGAAAAAGAACGAGGAATCAGCTGGTGTTTCAGTCACATTCAGCTTTGTGCTGAGATCCTAAAAAAAAAAAAAAAACCTCTGCAAGGCGCATCCCGACAGCCCCGTGGAATTGGTTTTAACCTCCCATCCTTTTCCTAAGGAGGAAGGCAAGACTTCCAGTGGCTTGGGATGTCTTGTCCAATACAGCAAACGACTGAGGTGGACCTTGAGTGTGACACTGATACCTTGGCCACCTGCAGGCAAGCTGGGGCTGATTGCTGGCTTTCAGAGATCGTGGATTTGTGTCCTTTGTATTTCCGCTGTCCTTGGCCATTGGCATGTGCCTGGGGGCCATGGGTGGGCTGGGCTTGATTCTCTGGGTAGCGCTTACACCAGGACCTTTGGTAGAACATGAGCAGATCTAGAGGATAGTTAATGATGAGGACCTGGAGTTGACTGGCCAGGCTGCATCAGTCACAAGCTGTGTGTCCTTGGCCAAATGAAGTACCTCTCTGTCTCTTGGTTTCCTCACCTAGAGAGTGGAAAACCACAAGGCCTCAGAGGCTTGTAAATGTTCCCTAAGCTGGGCTGTGGGAATTCCTCAGACAGGCACTGGAACATAGTAACTGCTCACTAAATGGTATCAAGACTCAGGCTCTGGCACCAGCCCTGCCAGCCCCTGTTTTTGTTACGAGGAATATCCAGGAAGAAATCTCTCCAGGGCCCTGGCAAAGTCCCTACGGACTCCCAAACACTGTCACTCCCAATCCTCTGGCTTTCCATGTTTTATGATTCCCCGGTTGTCTCTTGAAGGCCACAGGGACCTAATTTATTGGCAAGGTGGGAACAAGGCAAGGAGTTGCCATGCATGGGAACCGGGTGACCATAGCTTCGAATAGCAAAGCCACGCCCCCAGAGACTGCGCTGAGAGACCGGAGCTGTGGTGTCCCGGGACGTAAGGGAGAAGTTTGTAACCTGCTGTGGGGGAAGGAAAGTTGAGTTTATAGGGACCCCTAAGTAGATCAGTGATGTGACCAATTATCTACTTATCTCAGGACCCCTCCCCCCGACCTGAGGGGATGGGAGGCTGGGCACAGGTGAAGGAACACAGCCCGAGATGTTGGGGTGACCCCCAGCAGGTGGCCCCTGGTCTCTGATACTCAGAGTCCCTCATCTATGGAATGGGTGCCCTGGGTGGATGGAAATCCTTTCCACCTTGAAAACACAAAGCCCTGGCTTTGAACCCAGGCTCACTAGCTTGGTGCTCTGAGCAGATGGTTACCCTCAGTTTCCCCCACCTATGAAATGGGTTGACAGCTGGGTCAGGAAATCGGTGTCTGGATCCCCGAGCTCAGCACCAGGCCTTCCCTTTCTGTGGGTGTCAGTCTCGGGAAGGGGGAAAGCTTTTAGAGTGAGCTGGGCAGAGGTGGGGGCAGAGGCAGGACTGAGCCCCAAGGACTGAGCATTGCATGGTGCTCTCCATCTGGCTGTCTCGTCAGCCCTGATGGTGCCACAGCCATCCTCTGAGACACTTCCATTTCCCAGACATGTAGAGGGATGCCTGGAGATGGGGACTTGTCCAAGGCTGAACGGCTGGGAGGCGGATGGAGAGGAGGGGGCTCTGATGTAGACCGGTCCAACGAGTGTGGCATCTGGGACGGCATGGAGCCTCCACCGGAGAGCGCCATTCCACTCCTAAGTAGGCAATGCACACTCTGTGCCCACTGGCCACTCACTCCAGATGCAGACGGGACAGCTGGCCAGGGTCACAGCACAGTCTGCCCTCAAGTAACAGGGCTGCGCTGTTCCCAGGGGCTGTAAGCTGGCTCGCTGCCCGGGACAAATTGTCCAGCCCGGAACCCCACCCTCACCCAGCTAAAAAATAGCGCTGCAGATGTGAGCCAGCAGGACCCTGAGGAGGAACTCTGAGGACAGCAGCACCCCTGGGGTGTGGGTGGCTCAGGAGGGTGGACGCTGACCTCCTCAGGCCTCATTGTCCCCATCCACGAAATGGGGGTGTGGTGCTGTGATAGACTCAGAACCTGGCCCCTGGCCTACAGCTTCTGAACCTCAACAGGTCTCCAGAGGGGCGAGGGGGTCTTCAGAGTGTAAACAAGGGACAGGGCTGATCACCAAGCCTCAGCATCCCATCTATGGGCCCAAGGAGGACCGAGGGGCCAAAAGTCAGACTGACTACCAACAGCCTGTGAGTCAGCAGCGATGACTGCCGCGTAAGAGCTCTATAAAAAGCCCACGGCCTAGGTCAGGGGGCTGCCACAGGCTGGACACTGGGGAGTAGCTGAGGGTGGAGAGCCCAGCCGGGGCACAAGGCTCTTTGCCCTTTGCCCTTGTCTTGCTCTGCCCATAGCTCCCGTCAGGCCATTCTTCAGAGCAATCTTATTAGTGGCCTGTGGTGAGGGACTGATCTTCGGGAGTGGAGGCAGGATGGCAGCTGGGCGTTTGTCACCTGAAGCTCCTGCCTGCCCTCCCCCATCCTGCCTCCCTCTCCACACACTAATAGCCCATCCTGGAACCAAGGAGAGAAACAACATGTCCTCAAACCTCTCCAGAACTCTAAACGCGCTGTAAAAATAAAAGGAAAACTTGCAAAGAAACAACATCACAAGAGCCCTTTAAAAATGGCGCCGACCCGCAGAGGAGCAGGACTTAGGCCCAAGCCCAGTTTCGGCAGTGTGGCGCCCTGGCCGCTTCTGACTGCGGGCCACGGGGACAGGTCATCGCACCGTGTCCAGAGACCCAGCTGCATATCAGGGGTGCACACACTCGTCATTTTGATCGTTGTGGTTGTTAGACGTGGTCTCATGTGGCCCAGCCTCTAACCCTTCTGATCCAGCTGCCTCCACATCCGAAGTGCTGTGCCGACGACAGGCACACACCACCGTGCCCAGTTTCCTGTAGTACTGGGGGTCAAATCCCGGGCTCTGTGTGTGCTGGGCAAGCACTCTCCCAGCGGAGCCTCGTCCTCAGCCCGGCATTAGCCACACAGGCATCGCCGTGTAAAACGCCGGGTGGAACAACTTACAAGGGAGACGGAGTTGTCCTGGCTAGGGGTTTCTGAGGGTTCCGTCTGTCATGGCAGGGAGGGCGTGTTGGAGCAAAGCAGTTGGCATCACAGGCCAGCAAACAGAAAGGAGTGAAAGGGGCCGGGGATAATATACCCCCAAGCATGCAACCCCAGTGACGTTCTTCCACCAGCGAGGTCCGCTTCCAAACTTTCCAGAACCTTCTAGAACAGTGCCTTCGGCTGGGGAAGCAACCATCAAACGACTAGCCTATGGGAACATTTCAGCAGCATACCACGCGTTTGTTTGGTTGTCTCTGCGATATGATACCCTGACGAAAGCAACGTGGGGAGGAAGGCTTATTTTAGCTCACGCCTTCGGGTTGCAGCCCACTGTTGTGAGGAGTGGGAGCGGCTGGTCACATCCTCAGCCGAGGGCAGAGAGAGAATAAATATGCATATGGTTTTTCAGTGCTCGGCTCCCTCCCTCTTCTCCACTCAGTCCCAAACCCAGCCCAGGATCTTGTGCCTTCCACATTCAGGGTGGGTCTTCCACCTCCATTGATCCACTTAAGACAATCCCTCCCTCTAGACACCCCCCCCAAGAGCCAACCTCATTGGGAGCCCTTCTCAGGGGACTCTAGGTTGTGTCCAGGGGCAATGAAAGCTGACCATCCCTTGCTGCTACAGGAAGTCCCCAGCCTTGTGCTGGATGTCACTGTGCCCTGCACTTAGTCTTTCCTTCGTCTTCTGCCAGTCACAAGACC